TTCTTAAAAAAAAAAAAAGCATCATTGAAGGCAGTTCAAGCTACTTGCCAACTATTAATAGATGTTCATAATGTTCCCAACACAAGATAATTTAAAATACTGAATACAATATAGTTGTAATATATATACAACAAATGGTGTTACAAACTGAATGGTGTCCTTGCCAAAATCTGTATGCTGATGCCCCAACTCCTAGTATCTCAGAATGTAGGTATATTTGAAGATACGTCTTCAAAGACTTGATTAATGTAAAATAGTGTAATAAGAGTGGGTCTGGTGTTCTTACAAAAAGAGGAAATCTGGAGTCAGCAGCTGGTGTAATGGTTATATTGCTGGACTCCCACATGGCAGACCATGGTTCAAATTCCAGATCCAGTGGCTTGAAAATCACGCTGGTGCATATGCATGCATGCCCAAGATCCCAGAGGAGAATGGAGGAGAAAGGATTGCAGTGTGGCCATCCCCCCAGGAGGTGATTTTTCACTTCTTGCTGTCTCTATTTCTGTCTATCTCTCTCCAGTGAGTGCACATGCCCTAAGGCAAAAACCTCTATGGGGGAAAAAAAAGAGAAAATATGAATATACAAAGAAGATATTATAGAAGGCCATGTGAGGACACAGCAAGAAGGCAGCCATCTACAAGCCAGAAGAAACCAAACCAGTCATTAGCTTGACCTTGGACTTCTAGCATGCAGAACTGAGAAAATGCATTTCTGCAGTTTAAGCCACCCAGTCTGTGATATTTTGTTATGACAGCCCTAGCAAATAAACACAAATAGCAAGCAAAAACTCAAAACAAAACACAAGGGATCACCAGTCCCTTGAACACTCTGGCATAGTGAGTGCTCTCTGGCCTGTTTCCCTTTCTGATCTAGTTTGGACTCTGTGCTGAACATGTTGACCACTCTGTCAGAAGCACCTTGTCTGGTTCTCTAACACTGCCACACCTAACCAACAAAACCCAGTTTCTAGACCAGCGCTTCACTTTGTCTTCAGTACAGCTACTCTTGAGAGCCAAGCTCTGCTGACAATATATTAAATCACATAATCACACACAGTAATGTCCATAAATTCACTAATTCAAACCTCAGCACCCAACCCTGACACAGACCTTCTTAAGTTACCATCTTGACATCCCCCTCAAAACCATTCCAGTCCTTCATCACGCTCTCTAGTTCTCTATTTGACTAGTGACAAATCTCTCTTGCATCCATTTAACAACTGATGTCATTTCTCTCAACCTTTCTTCCTATCTCCATTTCTCTCAACCCTCACTCCTACTCCCTTATCATTCACACTTATCTATACTTTCTTTTCTACAGTCTCAAATCAAATCCACACTCATCCTCTTTTTTATTTTTTATTTTTTTTTATAGCTAAGGGTGTATGTGCATGTCAGAAAAAAACAAGTACCATCCAATAGGCTATGGTCACAAACTCTTCTCCTAAATTTCACTAGCCCATTAGGATTTTGGATTTGCACACATATACATGCCCAGTATGTTTTTCAAGATGCTGGGGCCAGGATTCAAACTGTAGTTGACCATGTGGAATCTGGTTATCCACACAAAGCACTTAAGCACTATGCTATAGGGCCAACCCCTCACTTTCTTTTCTTTTGTCTCAAATAAGATTTCCCTCATTTCTTTTTTTTCTTTTTTTTTTTTTTTTTAAAGAAGTGTTTAACTTTATCACCATCATTATTATTTTAATTTGCCACAGGGTACACACACTCACCAGAGAGACAGAAAATGAGAAAGCAAACTGCTGGGTCCAGGACTCAAATTGCATCAGTCATGTGGGAGGCTAGTGCCTTAACCACCATGCCACTTGCTCACCCCAAGATTTTCCTCATTTTTAACCTCCCCATTTGTACTTTTTTTTTGGAGGGGGGGGTTTACTATAGAGCACATGGGCTTGCCAGAGAGAGAGACAGAAAGTGAGAAATCACCCGCCAGGGAGAATGGTCCACAATCCCTTCTCCTCCATTTTCCTCTTGGGATCTTGGGCACGAACGCACACGTGCCCAGCATGAGTTTAAGCCACCGGGTCTGGGACTCGAACCATGGTTCACTACATGGGAGTCTAGCAACATAGCCATTATGTCAACTGCTGGTCCCTGTACTTTTTTTTCCATAGGGTGCATGTCCTCACAGGAAAGAAATGGAGTGGGGTGGGAAGAAAACACCCCTCAGGGGCACCATCACGCCACAATTCCTTCTCCATTTCTTCCTCCTTTCAGGATTTTGGGAATGCATGCACATTCACCCAGATGTTTTTTTCAAGCCACCAGTTCTGGGACTCAGCACAGTTGGCCATGTGGGATCCAGCTGCCTTAACCACTACACCATGAGCTGATCCCCCACTTGTGTTTTTTTTTTTGTTTTAGGCAACATCCCCCACTTTTGAAACTTGCTCCTCTGGGATCCTTTCTCTCTCCTCCATAAACTGCTTATTCCATATCTTTACTAACACTTTTCTTTTACCCTCTGAACACATCTTTCATCCTATGAGTATATGTATCTCCTATTTCCCTTGAACCTTATCATCTTCTAGCCACCACTTCACCATCTCTTTATTTTCACTTAAACGTCTCAGAAGTAGAGTTTATACTTAGTGTGTGTTCACTCAGTTGCTCTAATGTGACTATACTTGGCCCCAAAATGTACTACTGGATCATTTGAAAAGTAATGACATATTTTTCTATGGTTTTCTTTGCGAAATGTGTCATGACTTTTCCGATGACCCAATATTCTTAAAAACAATTCTATTCATCCATTCTTCTAGGTGTGGGAGAAAGGGTAAAAAAAGAAAAGGAGGTAGGGACAGGTCTGCTCTTTGTGCCATCATCCACTCCCAGTCTTAGCTGGCCCAATGTCCCAGGATGTAAACTCAAGACCTTTACTATGTGGGTCCAGTTGCATTGCCATGCACCACTGCATGGCTCCACCTGGTGTACTATTGAAACTGCTCTTTCTAATGTAAAAATTACTTTGTTGTCAAACCCAATGCATTCTTCCTTTTTTTTTTCCCTCCAAGTTTTGCCAAACAGGGCATGCACTTACTTGAGAGAGACAGAGAGGGATGGAAGGTGAGAAATCACTCCCCAGGGGGATGGCCACACCCAATTCCTTCTCTGTCTCTCTCCTCTACAGAGATTTTGGAAACGCATACATACATGCCCAATGTGATTTTCAAGCTGCTGGGTCTAGGATTCAAACCATGGTCTGCCATGTGGGAGACCAGAGCCTTAACCACCACACCACTTGCTGGCTCTGCCAATGGACTCTTTTAAGACCTCATCTTACCAAATCTTTAGTACATTTGACCCCTCTTTTGGTGCCTGTGACAATATACCAAACAGATCATGTCTTACTCTGACTGTTCTGTCTTCTACATGGGATTTCTTCTCTGACATTCCTTCCTATGTTAGTGTTCTCCACCCCACCCTCATCAAGTTCTGAACTCAGTTTATTACCCTTGTCACTTTGGTCCTAGAGGATTTCAAGCATTCTAAGGGTTTAATCCTCTCCTCTTATGTTGATAGTTCTCCAGACTTCCAGCACCAACTTTCTCCTCTAAGCTAGACCCTAAGTCTAGCAGCCTTTCTCAAGGATGACCAACTCTTCCATTAACTGTTTTTTTTGAGAGGTTTTTCGCTATAGGGCGCGTTCGCTCGCCAGACAAGACAGAGAGAGACAGAGAGACAGAAAGTGAGAAATCACCCCCCAGGGGGGATGGTCATGCCGCAATCCCTTCTCCTCCATTATCCTCTTGGGATCTTGGGCATGCACGCACACGCGCCCGGCGTGAGTTTTAAGCCACTGGGTCCGGGACACGAACCGTGGTCAACTACGTGGGAGTCCAGCGACATAGCCATTACGCTAACTGCTGGTCTTTTAGTAACCATCATAAAATACTGAAGATTAGCAAAACAAAGCTATTATAAATGACTTACAGAATCAATTCAATGCTAAAAAAATGAATAATTCTGTCAAGTTGGCCCTAGACTTTGAGTAGAAAAGCTGTGAGAAAGTGCAATATTTTCATGACAGTATACTGAACAGTATTCTTTCTTCCTCTCATACTTTTTTTTTTTGGAGAGGTTTTTGCTATAGGGCACATGCATTTGCCAGCCAGCCAGAGAGGGACAGAGACAGAAAGCGAGAAAGCACTCCTCATGGGGGGTGGCCACGCCGCAATCCCTTCTCCTCCATTCTCCTCTTGAGATCTTGGGCATGCACACACACGCGCTCGGCATGAGTTTTAAGCCACCGGGTCCGGGACTCGAACCGCAGTCGACTACGTGGGAGTCCAGCGACATAGCCATTACATTAACTTCTGGTCCCTCTTTCTTCCTCTTAAAGAAAGAATAGCACCTACTTTTTAGTTTAAGTATACCTATTATACCCAGATGTAATAGGACTGACTCCAATAGACGACAACCTAAAGTAATTATGCTATGAAATTCTAAAACAATCTCTCTGAAAGGTTGATATCTGTGACCTCAGAGACAAATCCAACCTATTGCTCGTGTTCATGAATATAGTTTGATTGGAACATAGACATGCCCATTTATTATATATTGTCTATGGCTGTTTTTTGTTTGTTTTAGTTGGAGTACATGCTCTCACCAGAGATAGACAGAGAGAGGAGAAAGCATACCCTTTGGTCATACCACAATCCCTTCTCCTCCACGTATCCCTCCTTTGGGAGTTTGGGCATACAAACTTTCCCAGTGTGTCTCTCAAGTAACCAGGTCCAGGGTATAAACTGCACTGTTAACCATGTGTGATCTAGCTGCCTTAACCACCAAGTCATGGAGTCAGCCCCATCTATGTCTGTTTTAACTACCACAGAGTTAAAGTTACAACAGATTATATAGTCTACAAAACCTAAAATATTTACTATGTGGTCTTTTACAGGAAAAAAAAAAAAAAAAAAAAGACTGATCCTGCTTTAGATAAGCAATCTAAGAATGCAATGAAAGCCATTACCTACCTGAGGTGTTGTCTTTTTGTATTGGTCACCTCCATCTATCACATCCCTCATGATTCTTCCTTTGAGAAATTCATACTCTTCTGGACTCAAGTGAATGGACTCTATAGTTTTTCCACAGCCCAAACACTGACCACTGTAATTACAATAGTTTATGTTAATTAATGTCCTAGGAAACAACTTTTTCTTGGGACAGCCCTGTAGTCTAGTAGTTAAGGGAGCCAGATCCTATATGGCAACTGAGGTTCAAATCTCAGACTTGGTGGCCTGAAAAACATACTGGGAGGGGGACCAGCTGATGATGTAATGGTTACATTGCTGGAATCCCATGTAATTAACTGTGGTTCAAGTCCTGGACCTGGCAGCTTAAAACTCATGTTGGGTGTGTGTACATGTGTGCCCAAGATCCTGAGAGGAGAATGGAGAAGAAGGAATTGCAGCACGGCCATTCATCCTGGGGCCGGGGGTAGGGTGCATGATTTCTCACTTTCTGGCTATTGAGCACATGCATCCTATAGCAAAAATCTTTCTTAAAAATAAATAAGAAACACACACACACACATATAAATAAATACATACATGCATACCAGGAGCATGTATATGTGTGCCCCAAATCCCAACAAGATAGAGAAATAAAGGAAAAGGGACTGTGGTATGACCAGGGAGTACTTTTTCTTCTCCTCTCTTTCTGTCTCACTGTCTCTCTCTGGCAAGTTAATGTGTCATGCTCTGACAATTAAAAAAAACAAACGGGGGGACCAGCAGTTGGTGTAATGGCTATGTCGCTGGGCTCCCATGTAGTCGACCGCAGTTCGAATCCCAGACCTGGTGGCTTAAACTCACTCCGGGTGTGTGTGCATGCATGCCCAAGATCCCGAGAGGAGAATGGAGGAGATGGGATTGTGGCGTGGCCATCCCTCCTGGGGGATGATTTCTCACTTTCTCTCTGTCTCTTTTTCTGGCGAGCACAAGCGCCTTATAGCAAAAACTTCTCAAAAAAAAAAAAAAAAAAA